AAACGTTACCTGATAGCGTTTCTTTGTTTACATCGAATATGACGTCATAACATAAATAACGTCACAACTAAAATTCCGAACAACAGAACCGAAATCGGAAACGTAAGGGTATTTCCGTTTCTTTTTTAAACAGATTTTGAAGTTAAAATATGTTTGAATTAAAAAAAAATAATTCATACAGACTTCGTCCCCTTTCACAGGTAACGCCTGCCTCATATTATGCCAGCTTTAGCTGGCACTTATGGTAGAAGCATCGAATTGGAATAAAGAACGATAACTCTCTCTACATGAGCAATCTAAAAAGTTTCGTCACTCTCGTTAAATCTCGTACGATTTTTTTTTTTAATTTTCGAAGTAGATCAAGTCAAGTTATTTAACTCTTAAAAATATTTGTTTTCTTTTTTTTCATTATATCTATTAAACAAACATTGTATTCTTGCTTGGCTCCAAATATAAGGTCCATTCTTCAAATAATGAAAACGAAATTAGCATTGGAATATCCGTAAGGACAATTTCAGGACATTAGTTTAACCCTTATATTTTTGATGGCTGCCAGATTCTCGTTTAATCGCGATCTTGAAAAAACGGGACAAAACGGAATAAATTTGATGTTAAATGTGACATGAATTCTTATTTGTTTACAAAAACAAGAATTTAGAAATTTTAGTAACTTGTGCAGTTTATTTCAATTTTATTGTACCACGGAAACAACCGAAGTTTGGACAACAGCCATGTTTCGTCGTCTGCTTCATCTTTCCATTATCAGTGACAAATCTCCTAAATTACCACAGGTACTTCATTTAAAAGTCACAATATCATAATTAATGATAACATTTGAGTGTAAAAGTTCCGTCCAGCCATGGGAACACAGAAAAACCCTCTGCAGTGCAAGCAATAAATTTTGGGAGAAACGTAGCCGGAGGCGGAGGTGAACACAAAACAGGTCAGGAATAACCACCAATTGGTGGATTATACCTCAATTGACGTACAATCCACCAATTGACATGTAATGGTATAGACCAATTGATGTATATTTTTTTTTTTTAAAGCAAATTATTCAACCAAAATGGAGCATTGTTTTCTTAAAACCATATAACTGTATGAAAACATGTCAAACATTCCTAGTTTAGTATAGTGACATAAAATATTGCATTTAATCAATAATTGTATTTGCAGTTTCTTCTATTGTTATCTTGTCAATTCTTGGTCAATAGTACAGATGTTTCAACAAAAGAATTGTTGTACACATGCATTCTCAAGAGATGCAGCAGGCTTTGACAAAACTGAAACTTTCAGAGGACTCAATAATGGTCATAAAATAGGTTGTAAGTTGCAAAATGATGCTCCTATCTCACACTAGCATTTTATAACAAAAAAATTGCATTATACGCCAATTGGTCTATACCAATATATGTCAATTGGTGGATTATACGTCAATTGAGGTATAATCCATCAATTGCCAAAAATTGGTGGTTATTCCTGACCTGGTGAAGGTAGTAAAATCTGCTACAGAATTTCCCATATCAAGTTACAGTGATAATGAAGTTGGTTATACTGTGGAATGTGGTCACTGTTATTCCTAGCTAACAGACAAATGCAGGTGTAATTCAAAACTTAACAAAAGTTTAAAAAAAATATATATATTCAAATTCACAATCTTCTAATTTGGAGACTGTCACTGTACTTCCTTTGACAAACTCTCAACAAATCTTGTCATTAATTATGACACATATCTACCTTAAACAGTCCCAGGAGATGGAGACTGTTTTTTTTTCACTCTCTAAGTTTAATCATAGTAAAAGGAGACTTGAGTCTGAGTGATACATTTAGGTATATATTGTATGCTCCCATATTGTCCAAAATTGGATTTTATGGGAATTACAATGGAGTTATGATAACCCATGATAATACCATGACTTTTGATAGGTATAGAGCATCTTACTTGGAAGTATGTGGGCTACATACATCTTTTGAAATTCAAGCTGCAGACACATTATTTGGAGGCAATATAAATATTTGCCTCCAGCAGTCACCAGTATATTTTATGCGTCAGTTTAAACCTGATCAAAACATTTTCACTTTACCGAATACTTTTATCAGGTGCACATTTCAACCTATTATAGCAATAAACAATTATGGCTATAACGTCACAGTACCCAATTTTCACCCTATGTGTATGTATGTATTCAACAAAAATAACTGCAGAAATCTTACAAGTTTTTTTTGAGACACAAATCGTTCACAGTGAGAATATACATGTATCAACAGATGAAGCATTCCTGGGAAAAAGTAAATCTACGAAAACATCAGTGTCGGCCCATGCGAAGTTATCTAATTATCATCTTTTAAAAATGTTAGCAACTTCACAACTACAAGTTAATTTTCATGACCAAAATAAAATAAAGTACAAACAAAACAGCAATAAAATGCTTCGCCAAGCACAGCCTGATACAACCACAGATGTAGATTAAGCGTATAAAAAACACCAAAAATTTTATGTCAGTTGAAATCAAACATATTTTAATTTTGGACCCTTCAAACTTTAATATGGACTGATTTGAAAACAGGTATCAGGTGAGCCCAAACATTTCTATTCAGCAGCAGTCTCCAACTACATGTCCCCTTAATTTTATATGATAGTCCCACAAAAATGTTGAAAATGTGTACATTTAATTTTTTTTCTAGATTCTCTCATGTCATGCATGTGAAAGCGGTACCTTTTTGGTCACTATTTATGTGTTGCGTCTTAATATGAATTGTAACACTTTATAGTGACTGACCAGGTCAAACAAATACTTCTCAAGAAACATGCAGCAAAAGAAGACAACTTGGAACAGCACCAGCCATGCCAGACTATGTAGGAATAAAAACTCAAATCGGAATAGCATGGACGATATGTTAGTGATATGTCCTTGTGAATAGTAAGGAAAGCTATCAATAATTCCGCAATTTTATCAGGTTTATCGTACATTTTCTGTTCAAATTTTCACACAATCAGTGAATCGTTCAAAAAGGCTAAACTAACGTTTTATTACCAGCTGATTACTGTGAAAGTTTCAAACAATGACAAGTGTTTCATTCATGAAATAACGTGTGCGTTTCTGTGAAAAAAATCATGTGCAATTTTGTGAATTAAAGGGAAAGAAGATCCTTTTGCGGTGCACTTATGCATGTCAATTGCGAACTAACCCAGTATATTTTCTTTATCATGACCAGTCCACTGATAATGACGTCAACATTATCAAGGACAAGGAGTATACACATCAAAGGAAAAATGCACAAATTACCGATAAAATGAATTACACACACTGTTTCGTGTGTATCACCTCCCATATCAGTATTTGTTGCATTTATATATAAATGAGAAATAATCAATGTAAAAATGGTAAATTTTTGGAGAAAAAACCCAAAAATTATGGAAAAAAAACAACCCAAAAATGTTGTTTTTGACCACTGACTCCTAAACTGTTGGTACCATAACCCCCAAAATCAATTCTAACATTCCTTTTGTGTATTGAACCTTCTGGTACAATTTTATACATTGTCATAGAGATCCATTTACTTAAACTAAAGTTATTGTCCGGAAACCAAAGGTGTCTTCGGACAGCAACAGCGACATGATAGCATTACTCGAAAGCAAATTTTTGACATATTCCCCATTTCGATTCTCAATTTTATATTGCCGTCGTATAAAAACTTGAAAAGTAAGCTAATAAAACAAATTATGCAAGAAATGACATAAAACCGACTCTGAATTAGTACATGAAATTGATGTAGAAACCCACAAAAAGAAGATGATCAGGAATACATTTATACTGCTGAGCAGTGTTCTCCCCTCAAATTTTAAATAGCATCCTAGAAAATAGATGAATCTTTAGATTATCAACTTAACAATCCTATTTATGGTTCCTTATATGCTTAGATGAAAATAAAAAACCTGATCAAAACATTATTCTAAGCAGGCTCACTGTAAATTCAAACTCTTCTTTTAACAATCAGAATGATCCTCTTATATGAGATGCAGGAAACTGGGAATACAATATGAACAACCAGCTAATTTAGAAAGTAAAAATAATTCAACAAACAGAAAGCATTGTTTGCAATACTAAATAAAAAAAAAACGCTACAACTTTTAGATATTGATGAAAAAGATATTCCAAATCCTCCACCTTTTCATGAAAATCAACAAAAAATTAATTTAATAAAGTTATGGATTGTATAACTGTACAGTATTCATAGTTTTGAAATTAAACAAATGTCTTATTGTTTTAAATTTTATAAAATTTGCAAAGAAAGAAAAATGGATATGAAAATGCACAAGATAATGAATGTAAGCATTGTCATTTATATAAATCACCAATAAATTCATTTTCAGCAGAAAACAATAAGGGAGCAACCATTTAGCTTCAAAGGGGGGTATGGTTTTTTGTTTGAGTCAGATTTTTTACACGTGAAGCACTTCAATGCTATCAATCAAAATTATTTAGTCAAAATATAAACACTAGAAGGTATGGGGAAAATCTGGATTCAGAATATTTTTTTTTGTCCTCTGCTTGAACAGAGTATTTTTGTCATCAATTTTTAAAGAAAAATACTAGTCCAAATAATTATGACGTCCAGGAAGGCTATTTTAAATTTTTGCTTTGATGCTTCCTGCGACACACCAAAAAAAAATACCATACCTCCTTCTGCCTTTTGAAGTTCAATGATCTTTCCGTAAACATTTTCCATCTAAACTTATTATTTTATTTTAGACAAAAACTATATGTAGGACATTCGTCCTGAACATGCATGAAATATTTGCCACTGGGCGTTAAGCAAACCAACAATCAATCAATATGTAGGACATAGTTTTGCCTTTTGGTAAGCTGGCATTCAAGGTAGCGCCTTCCTCATATTATAAATAACATTACATTAAGGTTATTTTTTGTTTGCTGGGTTATTCCTGACCTGTACGCCACTCAAGACACATGTCTGCCCTGATAATGTGCAAATTTTACCTGTTTTCCCTGATAATGTGCCAATTTTCTAGCTTTTTTCATGTGTCTTTCCTCTTTCCTCTTCATTTTCCTTGGTAATTTCTTCTTTCCACGTAATGAAAATTCAGATTTATCATGCTTGTAATATTCAACATTACTGTCTTTAGTTTTAGGTTCAGACAGGTGCATTATTTCATCTCGAAAGCGTTTCAAATTAGCTGGGTCATCCTTAAAGTGGACTTTTCTTTTTCTCGTCATTTTCTGATAGGTTTATATCACAAACAGCACACAGATCAACACTTATGTTTGTATTACATGGGCGCAGCCATATTTGAATTTGTGTCTTTTCGCCACAAAATATTATTTGTCCCAAATTCTCTCTCGGCCTCTTTTACGATTTGGGTTGAAAGAGTCTTGAATGGTCACCTTTCTTTCTTCTTTCTTTTTAGTAGATCCCTCCACTATCTGGAGCACCACAGGTTATCTGTGTAATCAGAGCAACAGGTTTAAAAATATGTATAAAACGTATTCTGTATGTGCGGGCCTACGTTTATATCTTCGCACTACTCAGTAGAATTAGTCTGTACAGCATCATATAAGTAGATTATATACACATCTTACCCACCACCTATAAAAAAACACGTAATGTACAGTATTCATAACTATAAAAGTCACACTACTAGATTTAAAAGTCTTTCTTGTCCAATCACAAAACTTCACAGTTAAAAAGTCTATTTCTCATGTGAATTAAAACATCCAATCACTGTCCAAACTGTCTCTGTTAGCTTCCACTATAAAATGACCTCTGCTTAAATTTCATCCAAACAATATGATAAACATTATCTTGATCTCAAAACTTATCCTTAAAATTAGTCAGTTAACGTTTAGGATATGGTATTTAAATAACTTAATGCCACAGGATTTCTCTACTTTAATAATCCATTTAATCTTAATCAAAAGTTTTAACTTGCTACTAAAAGATAAAAGGACTAAAAGGTAAAATCGACTACTAGCGCACCTAGCCCTTTGGATTAACCCAGCCTCACCCCATGTGTATATCAAGCCTGGAACATCTTTCCCGGTGTAAGGCAAAACACAATCCTCTGGACATTGCTTCCATCTGGTGAGATATCTCACCAGATTGTAGTACCAATGGCAATGACGGATGCGTGATGTCTATTATCATCTGTAAAAATAGTCTACTACACTTTATGTGACCTAATAGATGACTGTCCATTTGTTCCACAAACTTTTCTAAGCTATTTATAAAATGTTTCCTAGTATTTTCTAATGTCTTACATTTTAATATAAAATGTTCAATATCTCGTCTTCACCATCATTACACAACGGACAAGTTGGCTTCTCTCTGTTTCCATAGAATTTGGACCTATCCTTCTGTAGTATATATACCCCGGTAGCAATTCTAGCTCTGATACATGCCTTCTTGATCGACACGGTTTCTAGACCTGCAGATATCCAAATGTTGTGCAGAGTACCGGGCGTTGCAGTGGGTTTAGATATACCAAACTTGAGATATTTGCTGCATCTTTTTCCACTATTTTCTTCCAGTGGCCATTTATTTTCTGTTTTACCATGTTCTTTCATACAGCTGGAGATGGCATATTTCCAATAAGCGTAAAAATGGATGTAAGATCATACTGGTCAAGCAATTTCTTTGCATAGATAAACCAACTATTCGAAGTGTCATCTTTAACTAATATCTGACGAATGCAGCTTTAAATATCTGACGAATGCAAATTTCCTTTTCAATGCAGTCATTTCTCAGGATACTGCCGAGTCTAATCAATATTTGGTAATGTATTGTAGACTCAATTGGTAACTGCCCAGAGAGAATGTATACTGCTGAATCTGCAGTTCGATCTGGAAGATTTTGGATATTCTTCAGAACTTTCTTGTGATATTGATTTAGCTCCTCATAGTCTTTTTTCTTGAGTACTACTGATTCGAGACCAAAAAATCAACCTTGGCATGACATATGTATTCCATAACCTGACACTAATCTTGGGATTTACTCCATTATAACCATGAAGTCCTGCCCCCCATTAACGCATAGGAAGTTCTCCTTGCCATTTTTATTCTTTCCGCTATAAGATTGGATTTGCCACAGGTTCTCTGTATACCAATGTGTGTATAACTTTCAACTTCTTCAAGCTGGCTGCCATGCAGCTTTAAGTTTACCCCATCGACCACCTTATATTTACTTTTATTATTTAAAGTCATAGACTTGTTCTTTGCATCAGACAACATGTAACGTTCACAATCTGCGTAATGCTCCTGCATCAGCAACATCGTTTGTAATTCAAACAAACTCTTAGACAGTAGTAATACATCATCTGCACAGGTTGGCGATCCTACGTGGATTGAGCCAATGTTAGCACCAATATGTTCGTCTTCAAACGACTTAAGCAACGGATTTATGAATACTTTATACAATAAAAAGTAAAATCACAAAAATACTGAACTCCGAGGAAAATTCAAAAAAGAAAGCCCCCAATCAAATGGCAAAATCAAAAATTCAAACACATCAAACGAATGGATAACAACTGTCATATTCCTGACTTATTGGTACAGGCATTTTCTTATGTAGAAAATGGTGGATTGAACCTGGTTTTATACCTCTCACTTGTATGACAATCGCATCAAATTCCATTATATTGACGATGCGTGAACAAAACAAACAGACACAATAGGTAAAAATGTCAAAAATAGGGGTACAGCAGTCAACATTGTGTTATCATCTTAATCACTATAAAAACAAACAAATGTAACGAAGAAGCACAAAAAGGCATACATCAAATTTAACATCCTCATTTTGCTTATATTATACGATTTTATTTATTTTTGTAAAATCCACCCATAAAGGATGGAAGATTTTAAGTACTGGCGTAAAATCGCGCGTTTGAAATTCGCACAGGTAGACATAAAATAATTTTGTCGTTCAAAGTATGAGGGGATACATAAATACAGAGTCACGTAAAATGGATATAACAAAAAACAGACTTAACAGTAAAAGTAATATAAATAAATAAAATGATAAATAAAATAACAATAAGGTGACAGAATTCCTCCTTATCGAACGCCTTGTTCTTCCTTAAAAAGTTTCGAATAATTTCCATCCCACTTAACCCTTGAAGTAAGTTCTTTATACCAATCATCAAGCATTTTCCAATCATTGTCTTTAATTCCTGCACCGTGTAATTTCCGTAATAGTGAAGCATGCCAGACTACATCAAAGGCTCTTTTGATGCATCAATGAAGGCTGCGTGGAGTGGATAATTTCCATCTATGGCTTCGGCTAATACTTCTGTAAAAAGGAGACCTGTATTTGTTGGAGGCACATTTTTGGTAAACCCTCTTTGTAGTTTACTTTGTTTAGGTTCTAATGTTTGTATTATTTTATTTTGAAGTAACTTTTCAAAAACTTTCCCTATAATGCTACAAATTGTTATACGCCTGTATGAGTTTGGATAATCTGAAGGCTTTCCCTATTTTTTAAACACTGGTGTTATAATGCCACTTTTAAAAATTTCTGGAATACGGCCACATTCATATATTTTATTAAACAAGTTTTCTAGAATAAGGAGAATTATATTTCCACCATTTTTCAAATGTTCAGCCATTAAAGACAATTCATCAGGGGCTTTGCCATTACTCATAGTTGAAATAATATTATAGATTTCACTTACATTTGTAAATTTCTCAATTGGTTTATCAACTTCATATAACTTCCTTAGAGCGTCTAAATCCCTATCAACAAATTCTTTATAGTCTTTATTAAAAAGTTCATTTTTTGATGCCTTACTAAGATTTTCAAAATAATCCGCCTAAGCATTCTCAATAGCACGAGATGTATCATGAATAGTTTCATTTACTTTTAAACTGGTTAATTTTTGTACTGGGTTGCTTCTCTGTCTACGTATAAGTCTATTGAAAAAAAATTGATTATATTCGTGACTCTCCTTAATTTCAAAATATATATTATTTCTGTTTTCAGCCTCTAGCTGCCTTTGAACCTTCCTCAAATTACGTTTTGCTTCTTTACAATCTATATATAAAGTAGTGTCCTTCCCCCTCCTTCATTTTTCCATTTCCAATGAGCTTTTTTACTTATTTGAATTAATTTCTTAATGTCTTCACTAATAGGTTTCCCCTTCTTTTTACTACTCGGTTTCCTCTTCGGTTTTATCTCATTTGATTGTATGGCACTTGTATTCAAGATTTCAGCTAGTTTTATCACTTGCAATTGTATATCTTCTGTACCCAAGATATTAACTTTATTACACTTTTCATCTACTAATAATCGATATTTGCAAATGTCAACAGTATTCCAATTTAGTTTACTATTAAAGACTTAATTATTTCGACAGTTTTTACCTATATCCGTTACATCTTGCACATTATCATTATAAAAATTAAAATTAATTTTTCCAATTACTGGATCATGTGTAGCAGTGTTCTCATGGTTCCCTTTCTAACACATTTGTATTACATACCAATTTGTCATTTTTAAAAGGTAAAATAAAGTATATCTTGGATGTTGATACTCCATTATAATGGTGAAACGTCGGTATTAATGGATAATTTACAGGAAGCTCCAGCTCCATTTCTCGCACGGCTTCAATAGAAATTTTGTCCCTTGAAGAAACTTTATCCCTAATGAAAGATGCATTCATGTCTCCCATAAAGATAAACTCACAATTTTCGAACTTTTGTCTGATTTCATGGATCTCATCTAAGCACGCACTATACAGTTGATCATTAGTTTTACTACCAGTAGTTGGCATATATATAAGCAGCTAATATACATAATGGGGTGGGCTGTTTGATATAAATATCACATAACCGTTCACAACCGTCTTCTATTTGGTTAACATATTTGTCTAAAGTTTTTCTCCATAAAATTGCACTACCCTCAACCTCTGATGCGCCATGCGTATCAATGGCAACTATCGGGTACGGCAATCAACTCATAAGAAAAAAAATATGTACTTCAAATGTGATAATGTAAAATCAAACAAAACTGGGAAAATTATTATGTAGAAATAAATTATCCTGCATGATTAATAATTTAAACTAAAGAGGCAACCAGTCAGACAGATGCATTGGTCATGAGGTGAAGGTTGTGCATGGTGGAGGTTGTGTAATTTGTTGAAGGAGAGACTTTTACAGATTTTACAGACTTAATAGTGTTTTAATGTGAACATTTATCTCCTGAGTACCTAACGAAAACCCAGAATGAATTTTTTAGCAGAGGGAAAATCCAAATATTGCCATTTTTCGAAAAAATGAGATACACGAGACAAAGAACAATAGCTGACGCATA